AAATATAAGAGCTACTAAAAATAATAACACCTTTTAAGTAACATTAAAATGTGGCACAACTATAGTCTTCTAAGTTATGTGACGTAGTCATAATGATATTAAAAAATATTTTTTAGCAATCCATGGGTCCAAGTTCATGGGTTTGAGTCCCATCTGACAATACCGGGGACAAAGTGGATTCCATTGCTATAGAAATTTTGGGGTTTCTAAACAAGAAACCGCGACAAGTTGTTTTGACAATCCTTGCGTGATGTTAACCTGGCACTGCCTAAACAATTCTGAAGAGACCTAAACAGGTGGAAATCTGAAGATGCAAGGTCAGGACTATACGGCGGATGCATTAACACCTCCCAGCCTAACTCTCTTAATTTAATGAAAAACCACCTCCCTTCTATTGATTAATTCTGTCCGCTTTCTCTCATCTTATTGCTTTAATCTCATCAGTTGTTCACAGTAGAGTTCAGAATCGATGGTCTTCCCTGGCGGTAACAGCTCATAATAAATAATGCCCTTCCAATCCCACCATACAAACAGCATCACCTTTTTGCCAGTTAACCCGGGTTTCACCACAGTCTGTAAAGTCTGACCGACCTTCGACTACTATTTTTTTCGCATGTTCTTGTCTTCAGTTCCATCATCAGTTATCAGCTTCTTCAAAAATGATTCGGTTTCATTACGCCGCAGCAAACAATCACAAAAGAGTACATGGTTCAATAGGTTTCTTTCAGTGAGCTTCGTCGTAACTACTGATATGCCGATCTTGCTTCACTTTCTTAAAAATCGCATTTATTCGTAACAGAGCGACCGGAGCGAAGTACACCTTTAACATCAAAATTTCCGGGCTGACAACGCTTAAACCAAATTTGTACTATTCTCACAGAAACTGCACTAGGTTCATGAACGTCATATTTTCACCTTTTTATAATAAAATTTTAAAACAATTTGACAGTAAGAAAAACAAATAAAAAAATCACATTTTCCTAATTTGAATACGAAATTTTCTTTAAAATTTAAACTATTTAATGATACTGAAACCAGCCACATAGAAATGGTATAGCGAAAAAATTTATGCATACTATATACGAAAAGACTTTTCCCCCAACCTAATAGTTATCATGTATAGAAATTATTTTATTAATATTATTATTCCCAGTTACACGCAATCGATTAGCCGTTTTAGTAAGGCCAGCTACAGAGAATAGACGTTTGCCAGGTGTGCTTGTAGCGGGTGAGCTAGAGTAGACGGTATAAGGGCAAGTATTGAATTTATGATTCCTGCCAACTCTATCTTGTAGACGAGTGATCTATCGATTCAGGGGATTTCTTGTCACCGATATGAACCTCCTACAAAGCCACTGAACTAAGAGACAGCAAAATCTAACTAGTTATCTCTTAATTCATAATATGAAGATTCGTTATATATTTCATGAACACCATAATTGACAGCTTTAAGTACGTCACAGAAAACACCTAAAACGTTGTGTGAATTCTCCCAGGTATCAACAATTTGTTCTAAGATTCCGATATTCATACCGATACTGAACTTATGCATCCATGTGAGGTGAACCGTAGCTGGTTTTATCATTTACACTTACCTGCCCTTACGGCCAGTTACACTAACCTGCCCTTTTCAGAATGGGATTGCCCAGACCTAGAGTCCTGATTAGATATTCTAGAGAATCACCCGTTTCTTTGAATGTCGAGCTTGTCCTCAACTCTGTGCTTAGAGTTGAACTGAATTGTAAAATTTACCGTAAAACTTTTACCACACTTACGTCACAATAATCAATGCTGATTACCGAATTCAGGAATAAAATTTAGTAACATTTTGGAGCGATTTTCAATTTTTACGGTAACCATACGCCACAGGTTTGCGTCCGTGATGCGGAAAGTAGATTTTAAAAAAAATATAGTTTTCTAATTATAAAACCTTCCTTTGATAACAATTAATGGCTAAAACGACTTCACAAATTTTATTTCAATAAATTTACCAGTATCTTAAGAAAGTCAAAGAACGACGTCTTACGAAATAGCGGTGCGTTCGTATCAGTCACGTTCCAAAACTTGTCACGGCTTTTATAATAGGGTGTTATACTCTGATTGCAAAAGAACTTATTTGGTACTTGTAAGTGTATATAATCGACAACAAAAATATTCCAAAAAATTAAAAACGTTTTCTTTTCTTAAAATTAAATCATAATTCCACTTTTTTACACCCATAAAAACACCGTCTGCCATATTCATGACGATATTCTGTTATGTACAGATTGAAATATCAATAATAATAATTAAATAACAGTAATGTACAAACAGATTAAATTATTTTTAACAATCAACCAATTTAACAAATGTAATCTAGGGAACTATGTGTTTATTGATGTTTCAATTTTATGTTCATATAAATTTGCATAACTGTTTGATCCTATATATAAAAAAACTAAATATGATGTTATTCAAACGAAAAAGGTGTTATCTAACGATCTCGACAAAATAGTAATATTAAATAAGGTAAGAACAGTATTATCTCGGAATCTGCTTTTTCTGTCAAATCGGCTGCTGTTTATTTATTTTTTTACAACTACTGACAGATCAGCCTAGATATGATTATTTTTTTTTTATTTTTTTATTTGTATTTTTGTTTTTTTTTTCTTCTCTTATATATTATCATTGTGTTCATGTAGGTGTGGTCAATAAATTTTCTTTCTTTCTTTATTTCAAAGCAAATTTCAATGATTCTGCAAATTCGTGCTTTACGTTTCACTATCGAAACTACCCAATCCACTATCAAAATTACCAAGTATGCTTAAAATTGTATTATTTTGGTTGCAATACAACTATAGTCTATTGAGTATCGTTTAAAATTGTGTACTAGTCCGGAACACTGTACATTTACCTTACAGAAAAATCTTCGTTTTTCATTATCAATAATTGTATGGCTACGCCTGTTGCGTACTGCAATAGTTTGCAAACCAATAAAGGATATTTAGAGGTATTTTTGTATCAAATTACCGCGAAATTTATCCAGTCGTTTTTCCATGAAAATGTCAAAAATAATATCTATACAATTATTAAATATAATAATTTATATTTTAGTATAAACACATAAATAATTTTTAATATTATATTTCTCATAATAAAAATATTGGGGTAAAAAAAAAATAACATGAAACTTGGTTTTGATCTGCGGCACAACGAGTACCTATTGACCAGCACATAGGACATTGCGCCACACCAAACTTTAGTAAAGTCTGTGAAAAACCTGTACATTATTACTTAGTACATTGTTTCCATAATTTTCAAATTCATTCAATAGTAACTAATTCCCTTTTTTATATCTGTTTTATAAAGTAATACCTATTTATTGAACTATTTTATTTACACAATATGATTGATTAGGAATTATTTTTTATTAGAGTAACGGTCTACGGGATGGTTTTTGCATGAAAATGTCAAACTTTTGCAAACACATACTTTATGGAAATATTTACCTATTGTCAAATTTTATGTTATATATTTTTACAGCAATTAAATTTATCAACTAGACTAGATAATTAAATAATACTTAATTACTGTATAAAATAATATTCAAAATTATTTTAACGAATTATTAATGATTAACATATACCTATAAAAAAATGAGAGAGAAAAATATATCGGGGAAAAGAAGATAAAAGTAAAACAAAAATGCTTCTTTGATGGGATTGGAACACGAACATGTATTTTATTGGAACTATTTCATCAATATCGGGGCTTTTGTATGAAAATGTCAGTCTGACTTTTGCCTACGTCGTACTAACGAAATATTTATTTTCAAATTTTATACTGTTTAATAATAATAAAAAAGTTGCTTTTTAAAATTATGGCAGAAAAAAAATGAAAATTAGAATAAAATAATAAAAAAACGACTTGAAAAAATGCGAGCTCTAGTGGGATTAGAACTTACAACTTCGAGACACTCGGGTCCCTACCCTAGTACATTACACCAAAGATATTGTTAAAACGAGAGCGAAATTAAAATACTTATTTTAAATATTCTTTTTTTTACAATTTTAGCGATCTCGGTACGTCAGAACGCTGCACAAAGCAACATAGGTCCATCTAGCAACACGCCTCAGCGTGAACTAAGTTAGTGTGCGTTATTCTATAGCCTTCCCTGTCAATTGCAGTAGGAGTGACAGAAATGTCAATACTTTAAAGTTGCTTGAAAAAAATGACCATATGTGCCATATCACAAAATAAATTATATTAATTATTATAATAACATTATCAAAAATTGGGAATAACCAACTTTTATATCAACCTTTGATACATATTTGTACTCAATATCATTACTCTAATGTATCACATAATTGAGAAACGTGCCTTTTGCAATATTTTTAGATGCTACTTTGGAATTATTTTCTATCGAGTGAAGTTAATACAATCATGTTTCGGTTTCAACCACAAGATCAGAAATACGATCAAGTATAACCACAAATTTTTGGATTACCATAGGTTCCCGTGAATTAGTACAATCTTAGATCAATTTTATCGATTTGGCACTATTCAGCCTCTTAATTATTTCATAGAAAAACTATAGTTTTCACTCACTGACAACACCACTAAGTATAATGGATATATTTACAAGCGCATATCAAAACGTCTATATGCCGTTTATTACGCTTAACGCTATTAGTAATTTACAAACACTTTTGTAATGTGCATACGTTTAACGATAACAGCTGAAATTGCTCTAAAACATACATAAAAATTTGCTGCTACTTTACAATGTATATTATAAAGTTTACAAAGTAACAGCCCTAATGCAAGGGGTGTGCCACTTGCACCACCCACTTGTTTCAGTCAGGCCCGTGTTATGAAATCAACGTGTTCGAGCGTAACACTCTACGTTTCACGTTCCCAAATGGAAGAGGCAGTATGATGCTACTCCATAATTTTCAAAGCAAAATTCCTTTGTAACAGTTTTTAAAAAGCCAGGTGGGTTAGATAGGAGTACTTACATGTCTCTCTTCTACCGAGCTGATGCCTGTAACAGAAGAGAAATGTTTGGCTGAATAATTATGTTTTATAAATACAAAAACTGTCAACAAAACCTTATATCATTTATATGCAAACTGTTATGCAATTATTGATTTTATAAATATGTTACGCGATTCTGATCAGTATAAAATAATAAATATTAAATGCTATTTATTTTCTTGAAAACGACTTCACTGCTTTAGAAGTTTATTTATGAAGTATATTAAAATACAACATTTAGAAAGCTTTTTTTAAAATTTCGGGAAAAATAAAAATACGAATTCTTTTTTTCTTAACGATTTGTAAGAACAACCTTTGGTATATCAACTAGCTCAGATACTATGTTCTGTAGATTTATATTGTCCTGAATCCTATGTATTTAGACGTTCCTGAACTTAATTTTAATTTATAAATGTTAACTAAATTCATCCAAATAGAAAATTAATCAAAAGTGTACTAATAATGAGTAAAACACAAAATCCAATAATATGAATGACCATGTCATAGTATATGTCTAGGTAAACGTTTCCTATGATTTCGCCCGCGTAAATTATTAAGCTATAAACCTATGCCAACCGCGTTTCAGAAAAAAAAAAATTTAAAATTGGTCCAGTATTTTCCGAGCCTTGTTGTATTTGATGCAAACAAACATTCAGATCTTTTCCTCTCTATAATATTAACATAGAATAAGATGTCAATGAAAAATCTATGCGACTCTGAACCGTCTGCTGAAAATTACAATCCTATAGGTTTATACATCACTGAATGATTAAAGGCGCAATGGCGGATATGTCTGTGTATTGGTTGACGTGTGTGGTGTGACATTAGGGATGGCTAGACCAGAGTGTACTGCGGTGTATAGAACCAGATGAATATTGTAGAGGTTGTCGGCGACGCGTCACGTCACACCGTGCAACTCGTATGTTATGTGATGTGACATTATACTATGTAAAGAAATAAGGGTGGTACGTACGGAAGTAGGCACCAAGGAAAAAGGCATGAAATTTCTGATCACATTTCTAACCTAACCAGATGCAAACGTTGTTTATTATTTAATCATTCCGTGTAGGATATCGAATGAAAGGCCTTAATTATCACATTTCAAATATTTAAATAATATTGATAGCTTTTGTTTGCAATTCTGAATAATGCACCCGAAAATAAATTTAAAAAATAATCACGTTCTAAAAAGTTTGAAACAAAAAATTTATATTAAGACGCTGTTGTCAATTTAATGTAACGTCACAATGCCTATATAGCACGCGGACAACCAAGACGCTTCTAATGATACCTCATTTGTTTAGCTACAATGAGTAGTTTCGAAGTTATAAGGAAACAGATGAACATTCTTACATACATACCAGCCAAAATCGTAACCCTACTTTTCGCTTCGCCGAAGACGGGTAAAAATAAGAAAGTGATTTAAGAAGAAAAGACCATTTTTATCAGCAGTGCCGTTACCTATACTTAGACGGAAAAAGGTCTAGATCCTATTTTGAATATTAATAATCATATTATGGCCATAAGAAAAGTCGTTATAAAGAAAAAAGCTTTTGAGGTACCTAGAATTTGAAATATATCTATGCTAAAAAGATTTACAAGAGATTTTATGGTAACTGCACATTAAATAGACATACCTTATCGATGTAGAGGACAATTCATTTTGTTAACATTCATTAATTACAATTGCGTACGTAGAATTATTACTGGACATAAGTCCGTCAGTTTCTGCCGACACGTAATGCCTTTCCAAAGCTACCTGCATATTATATAAAGGATATGCACTTTAAGTTATGGAAGCTATTTGAAGACTTACTCGTATAAGAAATCATTCACAACAGTGGTTTTCTTATAAAATAGTCTTCTTTACTTTTACTTAAATTTTATTGGACTGATATGATGAGAGGTAAGTTTAACTGAAATAATATCAATAGCTTATTAGAGAGCATTCATAAGTAAAGACTTCATACGATCTTATTGCTGAAAACTATATGTAATGATGGGGAGAAAAATAGTAAGTATCTCTATGTTATCTGGCATAAAAAGAAACATGGAATTATTAGACTGGATCTTTGCCTAACGTTTTCGAGGATATACTCAGAAATATAAGAATACAAAATTATTTTAATAAAAATTTATGTTTGTATTGATATAGATTGTGAGTAAGTAGAAAAGAGAGTCCACATACTTAAATTAGCTTTAACAAATTATTTATTATTGAAATTATATTACATTTTTAAATCACTATAATATTATTGCTTAAAGTATGTACTGATAGTGATTAATATCTTCAGCTGGCATCTCCTCTCGACACTATTTATGCTACAAATATATATACTACGAGTATAAATTTTGGATCAACAATTTTCTTGGAGGCCTCCTTTGGCGCATTTTCTTATGTTGTCCATCATCGACTACGCTGATGTATGCTATACATGCCGAATGTTTGCATTAGATTTATTTTCAATCTTCGAAAATATAACCATGTGTCGTATTTCCGTTTCAAGTTAAAATAGTTCCCAATTCGTCAGCGCAGGGACTTGCATACTCTTACGGTTCTTTTCCTTCCATCATCTCCACCATATCTTAAACAATCTTTCTCTTTCCACTCCTCTTCATCACATTGTACGATGCGTTCTTTTTCAAATCTTACTCTTGAAATTCTTCGTCACTCTGCAGATTTCTATTCGTATTATTTTGCTGTGCATGCTGTGCGACTGTGGAATTATCTTCCAGAGTATCAGTATCAGGAGGGCTCGATCATTAGGGTCCTACTATTTTCACAACAAAGTTACCTGAAAATCTTTATAGCCATAAAAGGACTATTGGATAGGTACCTTAATAACTTCAATTTGTAAAGCTTCCTACACAGAATTGTTAGAAGTTAGGTGCGCGCAAATTGCGTTACGACCACATGCCGCCGTTCCCAAGAGTGGTCAGAATTAGCCAGTCTCGCTCGCCCGACGCATCAATCAGTGTTCCGGACTACGTCGCGCAAATAATATAGATACCACCACAAACACACACCCGGCTGGTATTCACTTCGTTAATAAATTAACGATACTTAAAAAGACACATCAATTCAATCATCATCAATTGTCTACGATATTCAGTCCGCCTATGTATATTTTTTTATAGTGAAGATTGATAAAAACTTGAGTCATAGAGTAGCCGAGAAACCGATATTGGACAATTATACTGTAATAAAAAAAATGTTCAATCAATTGGTTTATAATATTTATGGAGACTTTATTTCGCAACGTACGTACACCATCATCATCTTAGTGTGACATACTTAGATATTATTATATATCTGAGGTTCGTCTGATGTTTGTATAGCGATTGTAGAACAATATTTTTTTCTATGTTGATTCGGGTAGTGTGTGGTTGTGGGTGGTATTTCTGCTTCATTTGTAGACTTTTGTATTAGTTAACAAGGGCTTTAGCTACTTGAGATCGTTAAAATGTTTGTGAAGTTACTTAGTATTATTTTATTACTTCTACTAAGTTTATACGTGAGTCTGCGTTATTTTCCTTAATATATGCAATTATGCATAGGTACACTCACATCTAAGACATTATCATCTGCACCTGATTCACCGTAAGATTGCGAGCAATTCCGACGCCAATGTCATTAATATGCTTATTCAGCGCATAATATAGTAATCAGTACACGTGTTATCTCCGTGTATTGTTGTTATTACTTTAAACTAATAATGGACGATTGGTCGACATCATACAATAGTACTGGTCGGATTCCAAGTTACATAAAGAGTTAATAATAAAACATGATATCATAATAAGAGGTCACATAGAAAATATATTTTTATTTTACAGCACATGAAGTTAAATGTAGAATGTTAGTCTAAGGTTCAAAATTATTTGAAAAATAAAGAAATAGTTTTCTTTAAATTCATGTTCTATCAATTATTTGATCTCGGGACCTTAAAGACGCGTGGACACCAAACGATACTCGCTACAGAAGTCATAAAATACATCATCAGTGATAAAATTTATCCATCGCTAATAATATAACTCCCACACCTTACTTTAATAAAAATTAATAACTGTTTACCTAAATAATAACACGCAGCGATGTCCTATAAAAACATTACATGTGTTATTTTAGCGAACATTAAAACGCGCGCCTACGTACTCGTCGGTCCACGACCACGTACACTCAAGTCACCCGCAAAATTACGTTACTAATTGACTAAAACACGCGACGCTCACACCAGCAAGGAATAATTAATTGAGCGCGGGCAAGGTGAGGGTAAGGCAGGGAGGGGGCCATCTGCCTGGTAACTCTTACATCAGTACACCGATAATGGCACAAATTAGCCAGGGAAGTAGCAGGAGCTGGGTTCGAGGGAGCGGAACGGCGGGAGGGGGCGCTAAGCCGGAACATCCCGGAGCGCAGATTACCGCTTGCTTTTGTAATTAACCGGAGCGACGGGCGGCTTCCAAATCCATTTCTGTGTTACATTTTCATTTGTGGCGCGCTCGTCCCCGCCGCGCGGGGATTACTCGCGCTTCACGGAGAACTGAAAACCCGCTCCCCTGATGTTTGTCATGAATTCCACCCTACGAAGGTTTACGGACACGGAAATACGTGTTCACAACTTTCTTCACGACCGCTTTGAACTACAAAAATATTTTTTCTCAATCTGTTCCACATCTGTTTACATATACTGTCTAAACACATACATATATAGGCACCGCTTCGAAAAAGTAACTTATTCATACTCTCAAAGCAATATCAAGCTCACCGTAGCCGTCAGCGATCCGAAAACACGCAAACAGTGAGTTCAAAAAGCCTCTCGAAGCTGGTAAATATTGAAACAGAAGTGGGATCGGAGACGTCTGCCGCCGCGGCGGGTGTGGGTGGAGGGGGAGCACTAATAGTCTCCAGTGGCACACAGCAAACAACGCGAGCATACAAACAGACAGCTCTTAAAATATTCATTCTATGTATCGGACCGTTATATCTCACTCAGGATGATTTATTTATATTTCCGATTTAGAAATGTGCCGCGCAGTGACAGAATTTTTCTGTCTTTGATAGATGTTTGTTTATTGAGACATGATACAATTGTTATTGATCGCTTACCGTTTCCTTTGTCATCTGGTCTGTGAAGGTCGGGCGGTTTCGCGAGTACTGAAAGGGGATGATGAGGCACTCCTAGACCTAAGAGGCCCGCTGGTGGAAGGGCACCCTGACCCAGCAGGGGTAGCGGAGGAGCACCATGCGCCGGTAATTGTGCTGCATGCATCTGTTGTAGTAACCTGGGTAAATCTGGTCTTTGTTGCTGTAACAATGATATAAAAAAGATAAGAATACGCAAGTAAACAAATATATTCCAAGCACCTGCCTACAAAACTTTAACGTTTATCATTTAGAATTGATTCTTACAAAGATAACAATCTACGGAAGAGTAACTTTATAAGCAATATTATTTTATATTAATAATAATTTAAAACATAACATATCAAATTGTTTTCTATAAAAAAAATAAAAAAACTTTTGCTATTACGGTAGTGAAAGTGGCGACGGTCAAAGTGAATTGATGTGTCACCACAGAGCTCCGTGCATTTTTAAACCGAAGCCGGGCCAAATTAAAAAGTCCTCCTCGAGCCCCTCTGCGCCACGTTATTTTAAATTTTAAATGAGCGGATCGGCGACTGAACGAAATTGATTACTCTTTCTCTATTATTCCTCTTTTTTCCCCACTTTCTCGCATTTCCCTCTTCCCACAATATAGCTCTGTTTTCCCTATAATTATTAAGTATTATTATAATAGCAGAAACGTCCGCGTCCGCCGTCGCTTTATCTCATCACTTGCGACAATGAGTTGCCGAGCTTTTTCCGCTCGGCGGGGCACGTTCTTTTTTTTAGCCACCGAAAATTAATTGGATTTTCGCCGAGGGTGGAACATATTTTTTATTGGCCGCTCACGGCTGTGATTTATTGTGTGTCAAAAGGTGGCGAGCGCCACTTAGCTGCGAGTGCTTTTTTACAAAGGGAGATTTTTAATCCGAATTAGTTCTAAATCGAAGATCTCTTTAGTACATAGTTTAAATTTTGTTTATATTTAGCGGATTGTATCATTGTATGACACGACAATACACAGCAGTAGTGAATTGAAAAATAAAGTACAAGATAAAAATTATTAAAAAAAAATTGTATGTGATTCAAAAGGAATTAAAGTTATTATAAAATATATAATGTAAATTGCGAAACAAACGTTCATAACATTTGTTCAGTTACATCTTTAAATTAGAAACGAAAATTGAGGAAACTCTAAGTGAAATATAAAATTACGCCCAAACTCAGCATTCCAAATATATAAGTAAAGAAATTAATATAACAAAATATTGAATTAAACCAAATCCCTTCCTTTTGAACATTTATATGCTTAACATTGTATTATTGTAGTATTCAATATTAGAAAAAGGTTTTCTGGATCGAGTGTCATTCATTACATAAGTTATTGGTACGAGAGGCAACCCTTGTTCTGACCTCGTTTTGAGCACTCTCAGGCTTCCAAACATACCTTCAGGGCTACCCAAGATGAGAAATGAAAAATACTACAATTTACGAATAAGATTTACATTAATGTTAAAAAATAAAGTCTCTTGCTTGATTAAATTATTAAGAAATTTATCAAAAGAATAAGTCAATCTTATCATTTTTACTTTAAAATAAAATATATATATTGCTTGTATTACGTGCGGATTCTTAAATAAAGTAAGCTAGTGAAAAATAAAAGAAAGAAGTAAAAAAAACTACAGCACTAAAATAGGCAGTCAATTAGCTATAAGTATAGATGTGTATATTGGGTTAATAAAAGTTTCATCATCATCAGCCGGAAGGCGTCCACTGTTGAACATAGGCCTCCCTCTTTTAGTATTTGTCGACCTCAACAGTTTCTGAACTTTTAGTTTGCTTAATTATAATGGAAAGAGTAGTTAAAAAACTTAATAAGAAACTAATATCGACATCATGTGGCAGCCCTGTCCCCACCGGTGTCTGTGGGGAGGTAACACAGCCTGCTATGAATGACAATAAAGCGGTATGATACCTCCGCGAGGTATTTTTTCCACCGCGCATATTTAGACCTGATTAAACAGCACCAATAGTCTCCTGGGATTAAAACCCGTTCCCCTTAACGACTTTGCCGTTTACTTATCTTTCGGTGAACTTTAGTGTTTGTATTATCAACCAAATTAAAGTTTGATTAAGTTTCATTTGAGACAACAAAGGGGAGGACGAGATCTTTTTGCGAATCTTTTCGCGAATAAAGAGCTGAGTTCCCACTCAGACATTAGATTTATTAGAACAGTGGCTTGGATTATATAAACTTTGAAATATCTGTTTATATGCTATCGAAAACATAAGGGAATGTAGCGTTTGAAGACTGTCAAGAAAATATAAAAGATACGAAAGCGAGTGGAAATGAAAAGATATTACACTAGGAGCGCATCACGTGCCGGGAAGGAATCCGAGCAGTATAGGAGGGTGCCTACAAAGCCTTTGTTACGAGAAAAATGCTCCACCGCGTTCGGGTTTTCACGCCACATTTACCACTGTCTATACCCGAGATTATTCACCATTTATAAATGGATAGCGAACGCCGAGTGCACACATTTTTACGCATACAATATTTATTTCCATACACTACACTGTTATTTTTTTTTCTGAGCACAAAAAAATATACAATTTCATTCAATACTGAAACGACCTAGTGAAGTACATATTGTCCTGTCAGTGTTTTAAAGCATCAAAACGAGGTCGACAAATACTAAACGATTTTATAACGAACAGGACGATTATAATGCCATTACATACAATAATAGTAAACTATCAGTATGGTTTTTTAAAGTAAATTACTAGAGCTATTACAATATATAAGTGGCCGTGTAATCTATACAATTAGCGTACAATTAGTTGCGTTTTAATAGGAACTATTGAGAAGAGGAAAGTTTCCACTCAAACACTTAAATAATTAAGAGCAGTTAGTTGGCGGTCGGAGCCGCATTATTACAGCGATTGCTTTAGAGCATTCCTCTCGGGGATTAAGATGTTGCATAATGTGTATATTATGATGACCGTAATTGATTTATTATAAGGCTCTCATCGAAGCTCCGCTAACGTTAATGTCTCCGTTAGTACGAAAACCTGTTTGGGAGCATTGACTTTTCGGCGCTCGGGTTATTAAACAGAAGCTCATTCAATTACACGATTCAGATTGATTTCAAAATTACATCCGTGTTATGATATGGAAGTAATATGAGTTTTATGTTATTCAGATGTAAATCGATTGATTAATGATGAGACACCGCCATATTCCCATCCATTAGATACACTAATCATTACCTACATATCGATCGGTACATTTTATTTATAAAGATAATTTTAATTAAGACATCCATATGTATCGTAATACATATTTCAATGTTGTTTATAGATCTTTAGTCAGATGTTTTGTAACATATAGGGTTGAGGCATAACAACGATAAGTTAGGGAGTGATTAAGAAAATCCTGTAGTTTCCTTTAGACGAGGGCATGAAATGATACGAGAAACAAGAGGGTAGTTTGGAAACAAGGGTGCGTGGGGTGGGGAATCACGCGCCATTACGCGCCTCGAGCGGCCACGTGCGCTACATTCGACATAATTGCTTCTAATCGCACATTATCTCTACACACGCTAAATTACGACAGCAAATAATCGGGATATTAGCAGTCGCTAATGGAAATGAATTCACTATAGATATTTCAAATAACTATGACATTTATCATAAAGGCACACAACGATCATTAGTTGATTGTTACATTATGTATCTATGTATTAAACAACAACTCATGAGCGTGTAGATTTTTAAAACATCATGTATCACGATTGTTTACACGTTTGTCAATAACGAAAAAAAATATTTATACAAAGCTAAACCCCACAAATAACATCAAACAACGAAAAAAGCATACGAAAAACACGCGGGCCGGATGAGTCGTAAAACTGATTACATAATTTCATTGGGAGCGACGACAGAATGGCCCCTAACTCACTTCCGCTCTCTGAAAAACAAGGTTCTCGCTTAAGCGACAGGGGAAAAGCTACGCCGGCGACGATGCGCAAGAAACGCCAAGGGCCTCCTGCAATGCAATATTTATCACCCGCCCGCGAACGTGCCTGGGAAAAAATGACAAATTCATGTTTCCCCCGCCCGGTCACCCGCACCCCGATTTATTCTCGTCGTAATTTTTATCAGAGGGTGTGAGACTTTACGTAAACTAGATAGAAATGTTTTCACAACTCGCTTGTTTATAAAGCCATCGAACGTCGAAACAGATATGCTGTGTATTTACAAACAGCGCTCTCGTTTGCTCACCTATCCCTCGAGATCGTGTTGCATAAACGATGACATAAAACACATATGTTGTGTGCGTTTACATCTTTATCTCGATGGCTGCTTTCAATTACGAGTACTGCAGAATAAGATAAGCTATTAGATTTGTGATATGAGAGCGCACGTCGACTTAGCGATCTGACGGAGTTACATGAACATTGTTTTCATGTGAACGTTTTTGTCATATATAAAGTGAGTCAAAAAGGGAACACTGGCTGGCAGCTATTACCTGGAGGAGGCTCCCCAAAAGGGCGGCGAATAAAATCGGAAAGAAATGATTTACCCATCGATAACAGACAGAAGTGTCCTCCTTTATTGATGACGAGTTTACGCACATTGCATAAACACAATGGCGAACAGTTCTGGTGTATTTATCTGGAACCCTTAAATTTCTATTCTTGCCGCTAGCGGCAACCCCTAGGGGTTTCATCTTCACTCGAGTGAATAAGCTAATTGTCTACTGTTAACAATAAGATACTCTAAGCAATATCTTAATTAAAAACATCTATACTATAATAAAAAATAAGAAATATAAGAAAAAAAAATATTATGGGCATTTTATAAACGTAATAGAACACAAAACAAAGATTTTTTTTTCTGACTCTCGGTTTGTCTGTCCGTTTGTTTGCTAGTTAACAGGGACAGCGCCAGAAACGTTTCCTCGACGTTAAAAAGAATTACACACATGCAGTATGGTGTGAGTCTGAAGCATCCTTTGATAGTGTAGAGACCGAGAACGTAGTTTTTAAAAATCGGGTAAGTAGTTCGAAGCCCATTTGATGCAAGCAAACATACCAACAAGCAAACAAATTGTTCCTCATTACAATATTAGTAATATTATATACTATAGATTATAAGAGGTCCGATGTTGTAGTGGATTAGCGTATTTGGTTAACGATGCGGTAAAATAAGTAAGTAATACTCTTAATTGCACAAGTAAATGCCATGGACATACTTAAATATTTTACATAACTACCCACGTACAAAAGACGAACTTATCGCTAACCAGCGATATCATACAGGCCTAGCATTGCACGGAAAAACAACAATAAATAGCAGATTGTGCATACAATTAGACAGATAAACTGTAAAAAAATTTAAAAAGATCAAAAATAAAAGAAGACCAGTTAAAACAACAGCGTCAGTATCACTAATACGAATATACTTAAGGTACGATCAACATACTTAGATACAAGGAACAACGCGCGAAGTGTGAAGAAAAATAGTTTTTGTAAAGGCCGTTCATAGGATAAGTGACCAAAACATTATTATATTGAGTTCCTCCGTTCTTCGGAATGCACGTTAAGTCCCGGCTGCAACAGCAGTCATCAACACTCACCAATCCGCATTGGGCCCACGTAGTAGGTTATATCTCATTGATCCTTTTCGATTTTATTCCATCCATCGGAAAGAAAGAATTGTCCTAATATACTTTCTCACACAGGCGAAGTCAGGGCAACAGCTATAAAATTGAAAAACAGCGAACAAAAAGGAATTACCGATAAAATAAGAGCTAAAATAAAACAACTTAAGATTAATTGTAAGTGTTTGCGACAAGTGATTTTAATAGGCAAGCAAACAGTCCCCAATTTGAGGACTATTCCCTATTCACAAATCAGCGCGCGGTGGAATCGTCGCAAATCAGACGGAGTCGGGAGTGGCGGGCGGGCTCTCAGGGGAGAGCCCCTTTGATCCCTAGCTGACCCGAAAATAAAAAAGGTTCGTAATAAAAAAGGACCGACATACGGAAGGTGGCGCCGCTTTTTTATTTAAATTAGAGTGTTTTATAGGGGGAGAGCGATATTGCGTTTTGCCGGTGTCCCGAAGGCTGTTCGGTAATCTATAAACGTAGGTAAATCCACACTGCAGAGTGCGACGAACTTTCACCGAATACTTTAGGGGTCTTAAGACATTTTCCTTGAGTGAGAATAAAAGGTTTTTACTGACTTGGATCTGCTTGTTGTTTATAAAGATACTACTACCGCTTCTGTCTATATTTTATCCCTGCCAATGTTTCATCCAACCATTAACTAATTAGGGTCACTTATTAGCTAGCGGTGTAAACGTGCGTAAATAATTCATGAGATTGTTGACACGCCGCCAAAAGTTACGACCTACATTGAGGTGTTAACTTTGATAATTTTCGAAGGCAATATCATTTGCCAAGTTGGTATCTAATGACAAATAATGTTGACAAAAATACTATGTCGGTATGTTTACTACGCGTCTTATGAGAAGTAAATGTTGAATGTCATCGTGAGGTGGGAGGAACACGATGCAGGTGATGTGTGATAGCACTGGCGTTGAGCCAAAGTTCTTGCTCGGCAAGAGTCTATCGACCACAGACAGACGAGCTAAGAGTACACGTCTCTCCACTTTATTTTCGCCCTCATTATCTTTAAAGTGATTTATTTTCAGTCGCGGTAGACGCATTCACAATTTTCGAATGCCAAGCGTTAATATACCGCAAGAATGGGTCGCACTAACTACTTGGCACCGTTCCGCGAATGTGCCTATTGAAATTTATAATAGACGGCAATGAAGTCCTCACGACTCCCCCGGCGAAAAAATACAATTAGTGGATTGCGAAATCAATTAGGAGACCAATTTGAGGACAGCTTGTGGCACGTGAGTTGTGTGTGCGCTTAGCGCGTATAGTCAACGCGAACATTCATTATGTTGACTACTCGCTAAACCCACGCGGCTAGCAAAATAAATAGTTACTCGGTGACCACCTACATAAACATGATAATTTGTGGGCGGCTCGCCGCTAGTTGATAAAACTCTTTATACTCTGCATTAAACTGTTCTGGTTTGTAACAATTTTATCAATTCCTCGTTGCCGTACCGGTTGGATCGCAGCCAACCTCGTCTTGCGGGGCTTAGATCATTTAATTAACGACCGTCGAACTTTCGACCTGTTGAAAGCCCTGCCTTTAAAGCATTTAGTTGTTTTACACGTGCCAATTTGTTTAACTAGCTAATGTCGTGTATTTTATATTTTATTTGGATTTTGATATAGAGGCTTAATAAAATTTTACGACTTTATCCAATAAGTATTGAGGTTCCAATAAAAGGCAAAGAAAGAGTTTATGATGACTATCGTGAAATTTGAATGAACGCAGGATAATAAAGTACTAAGTATATATTATTTGTTTAAACATTCTTTTATGTAGTCTAAACGAATAATACTGCATTCCTTGTACTCGTATAAGCAAGCGGTGACACGCCAACGCCGACCGAATGTTTGAACAGATGTTATGTACGACCGCCCCACATTAGCGACTCGCATTCATACAAACAGCACACGTGTTGTTTTAATCGGTTTCGCGTGAAATGTTACTTCTGCCAACTAATTTTTCTTGGAAATCGAAGTGCCCATTTTATAAAAGCTTCAACGGAAGCAAAAAACAACGTGCAAAAGGAATCAGAACTGCTTTGTGTTAATGCCACCGTATTTCCACATTAATGATAGCTTGTTAGTAGTAATTCGTTAGATTACAGTGAATTAGTTGAATAAAGATGAACTCACCCCTATAATGGCGTTAAGTTCTGTCATAGTGACCTGTTTCGCCCGCTCCACCGCTGACGCCACCTGCTGTTGATGTTCTTGAGAGAGGAATGGCAGTATCTGTGCGATTATCGCGTTCAACCTTTTTGCTATCTCCGTCTGAAACATTCACATTCATTTTAATCCAAGTCATGTAAATACCATAATTATCTCGTAAATCTCTAACAGTAGACAGTAACATATTTTCGACACGAACTGACACCGATAACGTTAACAAACCATGACACAGTTTATCGTATCATTTACATTCACCGGTCTCCTTTGAATAAAACAACATTAATGAGTTTGATAGAGACGCGCCAATGGGTGAGATAACAAATACGAGTATATGTCTAACCAAATTAACCTGTTTAATAATACATTCTTCTAAAAAAATGTAACCACATTCCGAAACTGTTTTCAATTCAATAATAACGCGTGTAATTAGTCGATAAGCTGCTCGGTGGACTACAAATAAAATTAACACAATAAACAATAATGGGCGGTCAAATGAAATGATAAATCGGTGTGTTACAGAGCCCGGTTCGCATTTATTGGCTTTGTTCGCATTTTCCATTTAAATGCACATTAATTTAATTCACCGATTCGAAGTGAATTGTGGACAAATTAACATAATTGAGTCAGTGGAATTAAAAATATGAACACATAAGGTAAACGGTCGATTTGTGTATGGGAAAACTGACCTCTTGATCTTTCAGATATAAAAAAAAAACTTGTTTTCTCTTTTATAAGTAATTTGAAGTTTTATAGTATGTATATTTCTGGAATGTTTTAAATGAGAAGATTAATGACTTGTTTTTAAAAATTATAAATATTAATGATAGATCCACTGTAGTATGTAATGTCTTAAACCCGTGTATTGATTCAATGTTCAGGTTTTCAGATATTAATGCACTTTAATGAATAATCATAAAGTATAGAGAATTTATACATTAGCTTTTAATGTCACAAATATTAAAGTTGTAAGTGCTTAATAGAATAAAAATTAATTTAGAACTAAATGCGACAAGTAATAAATAAGTTCAAAGACATCGTTATAATTCAGTCAATTTATTACATAATAAAATTTTCCTCAGGAATTACTTAACTACTGGTAAAATTGTATAAAACACTAGTTAGATAGTTTTTGAATTTCTTCAGTTTAGACAGTCAGTTGTTTTGTTTTGTAATCACTGGGACTTTTTAATATGCCATAGGAATAAGCCGCGTAATTGGAAAGCGTTCATATCAAAATATTCGGCAGCCGATTGCGCGTCCGTTTATTTTCAGAAGTGTAAATATTAGCAGAGTGGAGAGTGCGTCGTACAATGAATCTGTTTGCACTATACAAGCTCGCATTAATATTTTAAACTATTCTCACATAGACAATAATCAATTTGCTTGGTATTTGCATAGTCTACCACTCAACGTCGATAGGAATCTAACTTCGTGACCAGCTGTATACAACACGTCCCTAGTAATTGCGAATTTCCTAAATGCTAATAGAGCGGATCGAAAGGTCAACGTGTAATAGGGAATATTATGCAAATTTCAGCGTAGATAGCAGCACTTGCATTAGTAAACTAACGAACTTTTTCGAATTATGTATTTTCGAATTTCGCAATTATGTATTATTGGATAAAATGACTCTTTTTAATTATAAAAAGACAACAATCAGTATAATGATACACCATATTACATTTTACAAAAAGGTATTTTCAGATATGTTTATTATTTTACATGCTTAAAATTAAATTACATTCTTAGCTATCAACATAAAGAACAGAGATTAGTCAGGTATTTGCCGGAAAATATTTATCGTCGGCGAGAACTCTATAACGTCGTAAAGCTTTGAACATCAAAGAAGAGCTATATTTTTGCGAGAACGGAATGAGAAGCCGATACAAACAGCTAAAATATTACATCGTTAACTGTAGTTTCAAGGTTTTGTGTACTTTTGTATATTTATGACTTCGAACAATGCCATATACATAGTAAGGGAAATCTAAATTTGGATTTGTAACGACTTAAAATTCGCTAATCTGAAAATTGTAACACATAAATATAAATATAACATCTATCTGTTTTCTAGCAAGTCGCCTTCGTTAATTATAGCTTTTCGCTCGCGGCTTTGCCTGAGTGTTTTAAACGATAACTCGACAGTACATTTATTCCTAATGAACTGTTTAGTACAGCCTTTCCCAAAGTGGGCGATAACGACCCCTTGTGTGACCCAAAAAAATTAATGGGGGCGCTGTGTAGAAGCTTAAGAAGCGTTTACAAAAGACTTGTGTACTATCTACTGCGCTCAAGTCCCGAGTTAAATTTTGTTGGTTATAAGTCTCGTTTAGAATTTATATTTAAACTCCGCTAATCTAGCTCACAATAATGTTGCAATTTTAATTAAATTTTAGTTTTATTTTGAAGTTACACTGGTTTTAAGTAGGTAAAAAAAGGTGGCGTTAACAAATAATTTAATCTCAAAGTGTAAACAAAATAAGTTTGAGAACCCCTGGTTTAGTGGGATAAAAAGTAGCCTATATGTTAATTTAGGTTTTAAATTATCCATATTACAAATTTCATCAAATACAGTAGTTTTTGTGTGTAACAAACGTATATGCATGCTCACAAACTTTCGCATTTATAATATTAGTAGGGTGTCACCTGTGTTATGAAGTACCTTCCCGTAGGTCAGTAAAGTCGGTCCATTAGTTCCAGAGACTTCAATGTAAACAAACAAACAAATCTTTCCTCTTTATAATATTGATGAAGAAAAGAGATAAGGAATAAACACATCGTATCTTGTAGTATTATTATAAATGGCAGTTATAAAAAGCAAAATATCCCGTTGAAATGTAAATAAATGTATTTGTTGGTTTGGTCCGGGGTATCGAGGCGGACACGCCGCGGCCACAGCCCGGCGCGCCGTATTACCGCAAATTACATTTTCATTCGCCACCGCCGCCCTCGCTCGCCCGCCCAGCCGTTATTGTGGAAATTCACTAGTTAAACGAACGAAATATCCTCTAAAACATTCTTGTGTAATGACACAAATCGTTTCCCTGGCAGATACTTGTTGGTTTACGACGTGGACTTTTATTATTGAACGTTTGCGACGCGCTGAATGACATAAACATAACATAAACAATTTAAGTGTTAAATAAGGAAATAACCAAATTGTAAGTAAAACATAGTCGACGGCATAGATTCTTTAAGACAGCATAATGAACAATTTAATTTAATGGAAGACGTACAATTTTTTATTCAAGAGATTCTTGAAATTAATATAATCTTTGAGTAGGTTTATAATTAAAATAAAGTGAAAATTGTTTTATATAACATCCATACTTTAACATGTCTAGTTTACCGTGTATAGTTAGGAGATGCAATGAATTTAACTGGCAAAAGTTACAATCGCAATTATACGAGAACGCGTGTCGGTCAGAATTAATTGTTCGTAAATTTGCACACTTTCTGCACCGTTTATAAATGTTGCTCCCAAATTAGCTTTGTAGCAACTGCTTAATTGATACAAGTCATCATTAAAATATAACCGGATGTTCATGGAGTCTCTATTGTCGTCTTCATAATAAAGATCGCCAGAAATATGTACCACCCTATTACAGTCCGTTAAAAAGAAACCCAACTTGACAATTACAAATTTTAATTAGAGAACTTCGTTCAGCCGAAACGACGACAAAGGGTTTCGGATTGAAACGGCTCTTATTGACATTACGAGTCGAACAGTAGCATCTGCATCTCGTACACCCCAGTGCTGCAGGCTACGGACGAAATAAAAAGCGGGCGTACAAAAGGACCGCAAAATACGTACTTGTGCGAGTTCTCCACAAAAGATATAGTACGGTTTGTCATTAAGGAGTTCATCCCCGCGCGAGAAATAAAAGAGGAACTTTGGGTTTCAGGGTGAGCGGGTGTCGACGGGGGTGTTGGGGAGGGTGCACTAATGGCTCCGACACTCATCCGCTAATGCCGTGGCTGACTCCTCTTTTTGCGCGATTTTCACGTGGTTGAGTCGTTGCGAGCTTTTAATCTGAAGCTGCATCTCCCCGCCGGTGACGCTTCATTTGCTCTACTATCTCTACGTTACGAAAAAACATAAGGAGTTATATTGTGTAAAAAGTATGATGCACTCCGGTATTTGAAAAAAGACACGTATCATTATATTTTCATCGCGTATATCTTTATTTATGCCATTATAATATAAATGTCATTGACAACGTAAGTTCAGAATTTCGAAACGGAAAATAAAGAAGTAGCAGATGTACTTATAATTATAATTTGAAGTATGGTCTTGGGGTATTATTTTATAATTTATTTAATGTATTCTTGTGGTACCGGTTGCTTGAATTAAAAAGATATGTATCATTACAGTTATCTACTTAAAAATAATGATGACGTCAATGCTTCTGCTATTAAGTATACCTACACACATATCATGCTTTCATTAATGATATGATTATATTTATTTATTAATTTTCTTAATAATAATCTTTTGGACTATAATTATTCAGTAAATCATTTAATATATTCAAAACTTACCAATTTTGTACATACATATAAAATACTACATATATTTCAAAATTGTCAATTGACATTTTCAAACAAGATGGAAGATGTGATAGGATGCAGGGCTTGTAGTGTGACCTATATAAGCAGAGTCCGTGTCTGTTGTTTCACGGCGACTGTTCGTTAGACATTGCAATCGCATTTAACCAACACGGCTCTAAACATTAATTCACTTTTGTCTTGTCAGTTCTAAACCGCATCCCAATGTCGACGTAATAATCCGACGTGGAGTAGGTACTACGATTAATTACACAAACTGGCAGAATTTACTCGGGAACTATCAAATACTCAACAAGAAAAGCGTCTCAAGTGTTGTTAACTTAAGTGGGTACAAATTGCTTAACTTAATCGACCCGCAGGTGTTATGGTGTGTACTAACTTTAGATAAAACCCAATCAAAACGACGTTTCGATTATTTCAATATTATTAATATTGATTTTTATATCTAAAACTTTTACAGGTTGACTTCCTGTTCAGTCTCAACCGTCGTTAATTCTAGATTATGAATTATTTATACTTGCTACGATTTGCTT